GTCACTTGTCACCTGAGCTTTTACTTTTTTTCATTATTGCCACTCAGTCTTCTTGAACAGCATTGTACCTATTACTCTAATTATTAAGATCCTTAAGAAAAGGACTCATAACAATGAAACCATTCTTTACTCTGACATAGAGATACTAAATTGAAATGAAGTGGAAACTGACAACATGCATTTCTCATTTTCAGAGTTTATGCTATTGATGAGTTTGCTTTGACTTAGTCATGATAGGAAATGGATGCCCTTAAGTCTTGGCCATAAGTAGCTCAAAGCATGAACTGTTGGTATAACAAATCATGATTCAATTTTATATTTTCAGGATCTTTGCTCTTGTGGTCTGATTTCTTTTATGTTTGATTTTACTATTTTGGGGCTTGTCCTAATTTCCTTGGCTGTATTGAAAAACAGGCCATCTTTGGTTTCATGTCATACTTACATGCAAGGAGAAAAGTCTTCATGAGCTGTTTTTGGTGTGAATTTTGACTTTATTGCTGTGAAAGAAGACTACTTGTTTGGGCTGGCTTTCATGAATGAAGCAGCTCTCGTGACAGTAGTGAGCTGCTTGTCCCTACCCTGGTTTGTATTGATTTAGAATTTGCTCTGGGAAACACAGCTAAGCACAGAGGTCTTCCTCCCTTTAAGAACTAATCTTCATCTTTTCTCTGCATGTCATTCCTTTTGACTTTTTCCTCTCTTGAAGGAAAGAAGAATAATAAAAACAGCCTGGGAAGAAGGGATAAGTGACAGTCAGGAAAAGGAAACAAATATTGTATTGTATCTGTTTCATACTAACACTTTATTCTTTTTTGGGTGGTATTGAACTCAGGACCTTGCACTTGTCAGGAAGGTGTTGTGCCTCTGAGCTGTATCCAGGCCCACACTATACTTTATTCTGAGACTTTTTAAAAAAATGTATTTAGCACAGGGTCTATAGGGTCTCATTACACAGCTTAGACTCATAGTGATCCTATTTTCAACCTCCCATGTGTGGGGATTACAGGCCTGTACCACCATGCCTAGTCTCATTCGCCATCTCAGCATGCTCCAGGAGTGGGGCCAGCACAGCAATCCAGGGATTGAACCCCAGCTCCTGTGCCTACCTAAGCAGGTGCTTAGTCTGCAGAGCTATCTGGCCAGCCTTATTCTGAGATTTTTATATGTTAATCCAAATATCTTCTGAGGTATCCATTGATTTCACAAAAGAGAAATTTAAGATTTGGAGAGTTTACCACAAGAGCTAAAATTTTAACTCAGATATTTATCACACTATATTCACCTTTTATGCAAACCTACCTAGGAATGATTTTGGTGGCCATCTCACTCACCTCTTCATCTTCTTGTATGTGATTATTACTGTCCAATAATAATCCCAGCAGAGCCATGCTGAGGACTTCTGTGCATAGTCTGATCTAACTTGTGTACTAACTTTCTCAGGAATAAAGGGATAAAGTTTTGTCTTTGAGGGAGGAAGTGACAGTGGTCTAAATATCAGTGTGGGGTCATCCAGTGGTGACATTTGTAGTCCGCCTGTATCATCTAATTTTGTGAATCTTGCATGGAGAAACTAAAACAGAGGTGAAAGGACATTCCTAAGATCACCATGTCTTTGGGGGCTGAACACTCTAGGATTTACCTTTGGCAGCCAGTTATTGGCTTCTACTGCCAATCACAGTTACTGGCCTGTGTTTGAGTAAGATGAAGGCAACCAAGATGGGCCAGAGCACTTGACAGCTTCAGACTTGCCACACCTCAGGAATTGCTAGTGAGTTCCTGCCTCTGTGTCAGATATAGACATGTCTGTATGACTGATGGCTACACCTATTGAAAGACAGTTAACAGTGTTTTCCTTTTTTAAAATGCATCAGCAAACATTGAATATAGTAGATCAGCAAAGAGCTTTCTGATGGTTCACTTTGTAGTTTGCTCTCAATCCTAGTTATAGTTACTCATTACATGAGATTATTTTAAAAATTTCTGTACTGTGAAGGAGAACATGCCAAAATGTGAAAGTAGGTCTTAAGAATGCTGGAAAGATCTGTAAGTTTAAGGAAGTTTGTAGTGCAACATTTATAGTAAACCACCTGTATATGTTTCAGAATTATCAGTCACAGAATAGAAACTGTAGCATTTAATAAGGATCAAGTACTGAAATAAAGATAATTAGCCTTTGAACATTACAAGACTTCCATAAATCAAAGTCATTTTATGGAACAATTTTTTTGCTGTCATTACTACATGAGCAGCATGATTGTTGACCTTTGTTAACTGGATCTAGGAAGTCACTTGGGGTCCTCAAGCATTTCCTGAATTGTTGTGGAGCACCTGAGCAGTGATGACAGCATGAGGAGAGGAGAAGAAACATGGAGATGCTAGAACAGACTGATCTTGCCCCCACAGTGATTAATAGCTATCTCAGGTTGAGAAGCCTGCATCTCATTTTCATCCTTTCTTCCCTATGTCCAGTATAAGCTATGTTTTGATCTTGTAGTAATGACAAGGAATAAGCATTCTTCTACATCTGATAAAGAATGAGTTTTTCTTTGCCTATCACGTGAACCTAGGCCACATGGAGTTTTCAAGTGTTTAACCCTTCATGTAGCTTATAAAAAAAAGATAAATTACAAACATATGAAAGGCCTGTTGCATGTACATAGGAGGTAAGAAACTTGGAGCCAAAGATACACCTTTATCCTTCCAAGGAGAAGTTGTTGGTTGACAGGTGTATGTGCCCTGTTGAATGCTCATATCAAATCTCCCTGAACATTAATATCTAAACACAGGAAATCAGGACAAAAGCTGTTTGAGGGGAACAAGGAAATACTTTTCAGGATAAAGGTATTGGTGCTGCTCCTCTCTAAGAGAATTAGGTGACCCCTTAGGCATGTTTCAGAACTCACATCTACATGAGTGGAGCCCTTACCAGATACACCCGGCAGAGTTCACACCTGGACTCTTCTGTGGACAGGAGCTGCCTGAACCATGTTGTGTGGGCTCTTCACTATGCAAGAGGCTGGTCTTTCTGTATGTCAGCTCTTGTGCCTGCCCCTCCCCACCTCAACTCCATTATTATTTGATGCTGGTCTAATGGGCGCCACCTGTTTTCTGAAGAAAACTGAGATCTTAAGAGGATCTGTTTCTTTCCATGTCACTCTCAGGAGGATGTGCATAGCTTTGAAGTAGTATAAAAATATTTTGCGTAAGCATTCTAATAGGGTCTCAAAGGATTATTTTTGAACAGGTATGAATGTTCAGGTACATTCTGTATATTGATCATTAAAATGAATTTCTTCATAATTGTTTCGTAAGCATCAAATTTCCTTTAAAAATGCTAAGTGGAAGAAAAATTGCTGGAGAAGTTGTTGGGCAGTGGGAAGAGGCTTACTTAGTGGACAGGCTATTTTGGGGGGGCCTTAGAGGGCAAGATAATGATTGAGGAGAACTCAGTTTCCCAGAAGTCTAGTCTACCCTAGTGAAGGGGGTGTGTAGAGTAGGAGGTAAGTTTGTGTAATGTTAGACCTACTATTAAGAACAGCTGTTTTCTTGTTCACTTGAAGGGGGCTACATTTGAAAACTATCCCTTGAGAAAATATTAAGTTGCAAAAAGATTAGTCTGCAAATACACATGTGCTGTTCTGTCTAATGTTTGAAACAATGAAAAGCTGTCATCCAAGTGCTACCGCCTAGTGAGGTGATTATGAAAGTTAGGGTCAAGCCTGGCACAGATGCGTGTCCTCAATCGCACCTACTGGGGAGGCTTGTGCAGGAGGATTTCCAGGTCAGCTAGCCTCAGCAACTTTGTGAAGCTGTCGCAAAATAAAAATTCAAAAAAGAGAAGGTCTGGGGATGGAGCTCCATTGGAGAGCACCTGCCTAACATGCACAACATCCTGGATTCAGTACCCAGTTCAAAAAGCAAAAAGGAAAGTAAAAAAAGGTTTGGGTCAATTTATAAGGCAGTGATTCTTCATAGTGTTCTTTTTTGTGTGTGAAAGGAAATGACAGATTTATTTCCCACGTAGCTGCAGTGAGCTGTATCCACAAAGGTTTAACTGTTTATATCTGTACATTTGTTACTTTTAGGGGTGAGTTAAAACTTTTGTATGTCTACACTGAACAATATGTATGAAATGAGATTTTTCTTTAAATTGGTGCCACAGCAAATGCAGGATGGAATATAAATCATTTTCTAGCTCTGTTTTCCTCCCCTGTCCATTATGCAATAGCTTTTATATAAAATATAGCTTCTTAAACAGCTACTACATACAATGTGAAATCAGGATAAAACAAGCACTAACGGTAACCACAGAGCAAAACGTACCTAAAGCACCAAGCCAGTTCTACCCATTTGGTGGGATTATGCACTCTGTGTATGTGTGTGTGTGTGTGTGTGTGTGTGTGTGTGTGTGTGTGTTTTATTGAAATTATCTGCAATTATTTTTTTCAGTTTTTATTTCTATTAGTTTATCTTTGTATGACATAATGATAACATTCCTTATGGGGAGTTGGCACATGCACATGACACATCTTAATTCTTTTAATCACCCCCTCACCCTCTCACTCTTAGTCCCCTTCCCTTTTAAGTTCTATCTCCCTATTTCCTATTATCTATCTTTTGTTTTGCTCTTTGTTTATGATTTGGGTTGCTGACATAAGAGAAAACATGCAGTGTTGAAGCTTGCATGTCTGATTTATTCCATTTTCCTATAGATGACTCAAATTAATCCTTCTTATGACAGTCAATTCTTAGTAAGGCTCAAAGCTATGTGTTACCTTCTACTTACCAATTGTTACAGTTCTTATAGTCCATGAAATAGTCCAACCTGTAGGATGGCAAAGAAAAGCTAATTTTAAGCTGTTATAAGCAGTGGAGCACTCTTACTATTCTTCACTCTTGCCGTGTTTGCTGGGGACCTCATAATAACATACTCAAGCACTGACATAGCACATGAGAAGACCAAGATGTTTCATTTAACACCCATATTTTCTTTCTTTTAGGGCGTGTTGGAGAGCTTCCTGGGCACTGCTGTCTCTGGAGCCATCTTTTGCCTTTTTGCTGGTCAACCACTCACTATTTTGAGCAGCACAGGACCTGTCTTAGTTTTTGAGAGGCTTTTATTTAATTTCAGCAAGTATGTATATAAATACATATATATCTAATTATAAATTAGAATTGTTTGTAGAACATTTATAGCCCAGATAAAGCACAGAATAGCAGTTAGATAGGTTTAAAAGTCAGTCAGAATACTGGAATGTTTAAGATTTTAAAGTTGAAAAAAACCTTAAAATTATGTAGCCAGGCTCATTTACAGTTGATTCAGCAGAGGCTCATCTGCTGTGCTTTATACCTGCTCCAATAGTGCTTTGTGCCCCAAGCGTGAACCCCAGAGGACTACAACCCCCAGGCTCCTTTGCTTTCTAGTTTCCTTGAGTTTGGCCAATAGGGAGCTGCAGCAGGACAGAAAGAGAAAGCAAGAGTTCCAGTGTGTGTCCCTCTCTCTACCTGTTCTCTGTGTTAGCACAACAGTGTGGCAGTGGCTTCCTTTTTAGGACTTTCACCCATGTCAGGTGGCCCTCTATCCTACTAGGATCTGGCAACCTCATTCCTTCCTAGGCCTTTTTAAGATTTTGAGTGAGTGATGACTTCTTGCTATTGCTGGTCCTGCAGTACTTCACTGTTCTTTGTAAATGGGCTATTTACTGAGTTTTTGTCAGAATACCATTTGAGCATGCCACTTCCTGCCATAACTCTAACTAGTAGTCTACTAAGCAGTTACATGACTAGTTTGAAATCATTTGTTCAGTAATAAAAAAGACTAGATGCTCTTTCTAGTTCTAGGACTTTTTACTGAACATGGCTTTCAGAACTTTGCCAAATCCTGACACTTACTGAGCAAGCATCATCCTAAGCACTTTACATGTACTACCCTATTTAATTCTTGTGGCAATCCTGTGAGTCAGGGACTGTCTCCTGTTTTATAGGTGGAAAAGCAGGCACTGAGTAAGCAATTAGATTACCAAGTGTTCTATCAGCAGTGGATGGTAGGGCTGGGGTTGAAAATCCTGCCTTCTGATTCCAGAGCCAAGGTCTCTAAAAGAATCATGAGGGCTGGGGAGATGGCTCAGTAGAATAAATGCTTGTTGGCAAGCTCAAGGGCCTGAGTTCAATCTCCGGTTCCGTAAAAAAAAAAAAAAAAAAAAAAAACAAGAATCATGAGAAGCTCTTAGTGAGCACAAAATAATAGCATCACTATTTTCTATTAGAAATTGATGGGTCATTCTAAGAATGGGAATATTGAGTTAGGTGTTAGCCATTGAGTTAAATGGTCATCTTCTCTCCCCCACCCCCAGCACCAGGGATTGAATTTAGGACCTTGTGCTTCCCAGCCAAGCACTTATTCTACTGAGCTATCTCTCTGGCCCTAAATGGTCATCTTAACATCTAACAAATTCAAAACAAAATTTGATATTCAGGTATCTTTCTACTCCACTTAATATTGTTAAGAAACAATTATGCTTAGTGGAAGATCCCACTACTTAAGATTGTAGAATTTTATAAGCCTTAGCAGCACTCCTTGTTAGAATGACCATGTTCTGATAGTGGACATTTAAAAAAATTAATTGTTAGAATAATCATTACATACATGGTCTCTCCTGGATTTAAGGTCTCATATACAGCCTTTCAATTGTGTGTGTCATGAAAAAATGGTCAAAATAGTATTGGGGCATCTGCTTGCCTGACTACTGGACTCTTTTAGAATATTTTGCTGAGCTAACACACCTATAATATTCAAATGACAGAACTAAACAAAAAAGGGGATACAGATGAATGTCCATTTTGTATCTGTGTATTCAAAATGGTTAGGATAGATATATACTTACATTCTTTTAATGAATAGAAGGATTTGTTCTAATAGTGTTTGTAAGTAGGATATCATGTCTGCATCTTGTACAGCAAATAACCACTAGGAAGAGAGTATGCAATGTGTTAATTATTGAAACTGTTATACCAATTTGAATCTGTCTCATTGCTATTTGTCTCTCAATAAAACGATGGGGGGAAAAAAAGAAAAATGGTCACAAAATAAGGGAGTGAATAAGAACTTGAAACTAGCTTTTCTTTTACTTTTTTTGAAAACCAGGTTCACAATTACTAGTTTCCTGAGAATTTAAAGTTCCAAATTTTAAACAATGTTGTGAGTTTTCTGTATTGCAAATCTCTTTTTTATCATAATTCCAAGGCAAACATTGGAAACAGTTTAATTCAAGTCAGTTTGTATGAAGAGTTAAGCAGTTTTTTATATTTAAGAAAACATTTTGTTATACAAGAAAGCCTTTGTGCAAAGACTGAACAAGAATCTACCATAAACAGGAACAAATAAGCATTGCTTTGCAGAGACATTTATTGGGTGGTAGGTGATCAGATCCTTAATCTAAAGAAAATGTGGGGCTTCTGGTTTGCTTTAATAATTGTAGGATAGAGATTAGTTCCTTTATTAAGTAATTTCCTGTTTTACTTTCACTCCCGTTTGATTGTTACATTGGTCCAAGTAATTTACAGTATTTGAAAACAGTTATAAAGCAACTAGAAATAAATAAATCACTAAGTAATATGTGGCAAACATATTATTCACAATGATGTGAATTTGTTCAGTCACTAATCTTTGTCTAGAGCCACCATATCTTATTGATCACTATTTCCCAAATACTACTAGTTGCATTAGATGGAAAATGTTTCTGTGTTTCCACTCAGCCTGGGATGTGCTATATATCACATTTCCCTCTCAATAACTCACTTTCTACTTTAGCACCAGCAGGACCTCAGAGTTCCTGCAGTAAAGAAACTGTTTTACTTTGATTTGCCAAGATCTTCTCCAACATATTTCACCATTTTTGGAGGTACAGGTAATCCTTGTTAAGTAGAGTCATTTCAGATCATCAAACTGTTCAAACATTTTTGCTCTCTTATTTATTCTTTTGTTTACTGAAGCATGTCACTGTCATACCAAAGTATCAGAGGTTTTAGTGTAGTGATTTTCTTTGTTGAGTCATTCTTATGGAAGTGCTCTGGGAAAACATAGCCAGCTACTTTGGGTAAATTGTTTAGGTTCTTAGATATGTTTATGCATGCATTCTTCCCTTTGTACTCACTCTGATAGTACTTCTAACCATTAATTCTAACCATTGACCAGTTAATGGGTTTACCTCATCTTGTCCTTAAAACATTGATTCCATAACTACTACTAGCACTCTTAGAATTAATCGGAATTGCTTTTTCATCTTGTTATGGAAGAAAACTTAAGTAATTGTTTTAAACATCTAAGAAAAAAACTTATTGACTTAGAAATAATAAAACAGTGCTTCTTAAGTCTTATTCCAACACTGATTCATTGTATGATAATTTACATTACTAGCACTCTACTTTTCCTGTATTGTACTTATTTCATGAGAGGTAAATAATCAGATTGTAGACATACACATATGAGTGTAAAGGAATGGAAAATTGTCTTTAGAAAATCTCAGGAAATCTGTAAAGGGTACCACTCTTCTTCCCTGCTAGCACTGTGCTCTGGCGACATCTTCCAATTCATGTGATTTGCTGAGATGAGAAGAGAACATAACTTTAATGCTTAATCTATCTGGAGAAAATTATAGCTCATATGATGGTGGGTGAGACTATTGTAAAATTTTTCAAATGACCAGTCCAAGAATCAAGAGTTTCAGTTTCTGGTCCAACTTTGCCATTAAAATATTAACATTGTATAAATGATTTAACTTCCATTGGCTTTGGTGCCCTCATGTATAAAGTGAGGTATAGTTGACAAATTGGTGTCTGTATTTGTCTGGATGCTGGAGAAACAGAACCAATAAGGTGCAGATGCCGAAAGACATTTATTATAAAAGTTGGCTCCCAAGCCCTTATAGGTTGGCAAGTCCAAAATCTGCAGGGCAGGCTGGCACACTGGCAGGCTAGAAACCCCAGAGAAATGGTGTTTTAGTTTGAATCCAAAAACTGTCTTCCATAGAGCAAGATGAACTGATGTGGCAGATGTAGTTCAGAGACATTTCACTGGTGAATTCTCACTGGCCTCTGGGGAGGCCCATCTTTTTGTTCCATATAATCTTCAACTGATTTGATGAGAATTATGGAAAGTTACCTGCTTCCCTAAGCCCCCATCATTTAATTTACATGGTGTTTTTTTTTTTTTTTTTTTTTTTGTATTTTTTAGGGAAGGGTCTACAGGGTGTTCAGGGTCTCACTACTAGGACTTGTAGTAATCCACCTGTTTACAGCCTCCCAAGAGTTGGAATTACAGGCATGTGCCACCCCGCCCAGTCTTAATTTACTTGTTAATCTTTCCAAAAACACTTTCTCAGAAATACCTAGAGTAATGTTTGGGCAAATATCTGAGCAATCTGTAGCACACAGAAATTGAAGCAAACTTAAGCATCACAATATCTAAGACAGTTTTAATTGTAATATCCTCTAATGTTTAGCTGGTACAGACACAGCCATCAAAATGGTTCACAGGGTCATGTGAGTCACAGAAACAGTCATGTCTTCAGCTATAGGAATGCATTCATTCACCCAGCACTGCCATGCCTTTATCAGGCACCTTTTCTTTGAGTACCCCTGTACTAGGTAATAAATCAGAATTTTATTCTGTGAGCAGTGGGATACCACTGAACAGTTTTAAGGGGAGGGGTATATTTGCATTTAAAGAGATCCTTTGGTTGTGGTGCAGAAATGGAGTTGAGCAGGGCAAGCATTGGTATCAAGTCTGGCTGTCAGTTGAAGGTTGGGGTGGCAGTTCTTACTGATACTTCAGACCAGGTCAGTGGGAAGCACCATAGGTCAGTGGACATCCATCACAGATATGTGAAAACCATCATCTGAAAGCCAGGCTGGAGAGCTTTAAGATGCAGTCTTTGGCTCCTAGCAAAAAGTGATACCATCCGCTTTTTAATAACTGATAAATTTAAATATTATGATGCGTTCCTCTCCACTTAATTTTAAAAGAATCAGTATAAAGTCATAAAATGTCAACACTTGACACATTTTTTCTTAGTTGTGAATCTTGAACTAATTCACATGTAAGACATGGGAGGGGTGTTGAAAGACTACATGACCTCCTTAGATGGAGGTGGCCCATACTAAGTCTGTATGGGACTAAGAAAATGTGGTCACAAGATCACTTCACACTGATTTCAGGAAAAGGGTACAGCGTCTGTGGGCAACTTGTGATATGTGTGTGGTGTGGCATGGTCAGATGTCCTCTCTGGATCTGATAGTGGCCCACATGTCTATCCATGTCTCTCTCTTTGGTGGTCCTCTTTTCACAGTGGACACTGTGTACTGTCCTGTGCTGTGTGCCTTTATACATAGTCTGAAAAGTTCTTACTTATCCTTGAACATCTTGAGTGCTTTCTTCAACTTCATCTATCTTCACTGCTAGAATTACTCCTTTGACATTATCACTTATTATTTTATGATGTTTATCAATTTGTCTCTCTCAGGAGACTGCAGGGTCTTGGGGCACAGAACATATGGATCTGATGTCTCCATTAACCAGTAACTGTGACATTTATTAAATGCATACAGGTCCCAATGTACTTTCAAATTGTTTTCTCTATAAATACCATGAATACAGGGACCAGAGTTTTAAATGATAAAATTAATGGTACTTGTTTCCTTGGTTATTTTTCTGTCATTGCTGAGACAAAATACCTGATGCCCAAATTAAAGAGGGAAAGGCTCCACAGTTTGTGGAGGTTTTGGTCCATACTAAGCTGGCTCCAAGGCAGAATGGCACATGGCAGAAGGCAACAGCAGTTCAGGTCAGCAGAAAACAGCAAAAGCAGCAAGAGCAAAAGAAGGAGACGCAGCAGAGAGCAAGTCTCGTTCCCTCCTTTATATTGTATGCAAACTGTCTGTCTGCCCCAGGGTGGGTGTGGCATTCACATTTATAATCCCAGCATTGGGCCATGAATCAATCAAAAAATTTAGAAGCCAACCCCATGATTGATGAAGCTTTGGAAGTCATATATGATATGACTTCTTTCCATGTGTTTTTCTGAGACTTTAAAATTTTCTCTTATAGTAGCACAATAATACTACTAGACAAAATCTTTAAACTTTAGCCATTAGATACAAAGTTCAATTTTATCTAGAGTTTAAAGGTGATTTTGTATTTTCAACTATCATTTTGTAGGCACTTGGTGGTTTTCCATTGTGTATGTTTCATCATGAAAGAAGCTAAATGCATTTTTTTCTCTTTCTAGGGACCATAACTTTGACTATTTGGAGTTTCGCCTTTGGATTGGCTTGTGGTCAGCATTTCTGTGTCTCATTTTGGTGGCCACAGATGCCAGCTTCTTGGTTCAGTATTTTACACGTTTCACAGAAGAGGGCTTCTCATCTCTGATCAGTTTCATCTTTATCTATGATGCTTTCAAGAAGATGATCAAGCTAGCACATTACTATCCCATCAACTCTGACTTCAAAGTGGGCTACAATACCCTCTTCTCCTGTACCTGTTTGCCGCCTGACCCAGGTGAGGACACGTCACTTACTGCTGTGAGTGCCCTGTGTTTCCAGGACTGCTCAGGCACTGTGACTGCAAATTGTGACATGAAATCATGATCCTTAGGCCAGGGTCTGTTACCTCAGAGAAACCATCATACTGAATTTTCACTCTTATGATTCCTCTGGGAATAAAATTGAGAGCTCTGGAATATGAACAAAAGTGTCTCAAAATGTTGAAATTAATTCAAACTGCCATATGGAAAATGATTTGTGCATTCTTCTTAGCTTTCTGTGGAGAGCAGACCTAGGTACATGCACGGTTTTAACAAGTACAAATACCAGATGAATCTAAATTTTCAGAGTTTGTATTCCACATTTTACTGTTTCTTTACTGCTTTGGGAATATCTCCTTTTAAGTAAGCTTTAAATAGTTTATTTTCAGTTTTAAGAAGAAACAAAGAATATATCAATTCACTTTAAGTAACTAGAAGTATAAAACAAACAAAAAAGAAATCCAGATTACAATCACTGAATGATAATATAGAGTCTTGTAATTTACCCCTGCTAGACAATGTAAATAAGAATGGAAAAGGAAAAAAATGAATGAGTGAGTTGGAGGTGAGGGAGGCAGGTATGCAGGCAAGCATGTTGTGCTCTAGGAGATGTGTATGTTTAAAGGAGAAAAGCCATAAAAGTAGCTTCTACATGAGGAATGTGATTCTATTTATTATCATTATTTTTAATATCTATTTATTTGGTTGAGTCTCACTATGCAGCTCAGACTCCTAGTGATCCTCCTGTCTCAGCATCACCAGCACTGGGATTACAGGTGTGTGCCACCACGCTTGGTTTCAGTGGCTGGCTCTGCACAGGCCTGGCATGGCGTGCAATACTGGGGATTGAACCTGGGTTCTTGCACTTGACAGGCAGGTGTTTAGACTGCTGAGCTATCTCCCCAACATGATTCCATTCTTTTTAACATTTTAATATCAATCTTACCAAAATCAGTATTAGAAGTTCCTTATAAAAAGTATTCAACTTCGTCTTCAGAGTTTTTCTTATAATAATTCATCACTGATTTTATACTATTGAAGAAGTTTTGAAAAAGAATTTGCTTTGATGGAAATTGCTTTATATTTCCTGTTTTTTAAAATTTTTAATCAATGAGACAGTTCTTCTTCTCCTTCTCCTTCTCTTTCTCCTTCTCCTCCTCCTCCTTCCTCTTCCTCTTCCTCCTCCTCCTC